AGAAGTTTTTCTAAACTTCGGTATGTTGTCGTTGATGTCCTAGGTTGGAAAGTAGAAGACAGCTAAGTTTTTTTTTACAACGCATGTTCATGAGGTTGACAAAGATACAAGGATCCTTCCTCATACTTCTGATCACCTCCAGAAGACACATTAAAAACTGCACCAATCAATCTGTCGAAAGATCTATCCAGTCTAAAAACAGATACAAGGTCTGGTTCCATTTGCATAAAGCTTCTCAGAGTAAAAAATGCTGATCTAGGATCAGTACAGCCTTCTAAATCAAAATGAATAAAAGGGGGTGTGCCCAGGTACCAATACACCCTGTCTGTGCACTTGTTCCATTCATTGTCAAAGGTTTGTGAGAGATGGACGGTGATCTTACCTCCACATTGATGACGACTGGCCCCCAGGTGGACAGTGGTGGGCTGCCTTTGTCAGTTGCTGTCACGTTTAACTTAACCTGCCCATTATCCTTGTCCTGCATGGCCTCTCTGTCTAGCGGGCCATTGTTCTCCAACCAGCCTGTGGTGGGGTCAATGGTGAAGTTGGCACTGTAGTCACTGGTCACTATTCCGTACTCGATCTCGCTGTTGGGTGACTCATCTCCGTCAGTAGCCTGAAAAACGAGAAGGAGGAAGAAAATCATCAACAACCTAGGTAGCACAATTCTGGTAACCTTTCCCCAAATTCCTAGGTTTTCCAGAAATCCCAGATGGAAGATTCCTGGATTTTACAAAAACCTGGGAATTTTAGGAACGTTACTGGAATGTTCCGGGTCTACGGGTCTAGGGGTCAGCTGTAGAGCGGTTTTAACCCTTTGGTTACTGCGTGTAGAGCAGAGGTCTCAAACTCATTCCATGGAGGGCCCCAGTGGCTGCTGGATGTTGTTATATCCTTTCAATTTGTGTCAAATGAAGACCTAGACCACCAGGTGAGGGGAGTTCCTACCTAATCACTGACCTTACTAATCACTGACCTTACTAATCACTGACGTTACTAATCACTGACCTTACTAATCACTGACCTTACTAATCACTGACCTTACTAATCACTGACCTTACTAATCACTGACCTTAATTGATCAATCAAGTCCAAGGGATAAGTGAAAACCTGCAAGCTCTCACCCCTCCGTGGAATGAGTTGGACACACTGTGGTGTGGAGCAGGGGTTAGCTAACCTCTCGTCGGGGACCCCCAGGCGTTCCATGTTTTTTATTTATTTCACCTTTATTGATACAGGTGTCAATTTAGAACAAATTCTTATCTACAATGCTTATTCCACACTTGGATTCAACTTGTCAAATAAATCATCAAGCACTTGATTAGGTGAATCAGTTGAGCTAGTTCAGGGCTACAACAGAATTATGAAACGTCTGAGGAGAGGTTTGAAACCCACTTGAATAGAGACGCAGATACTGACCTGTACTTGAATTCTCAGGTTTGAGCCCTCTTTCACATAGTCAACGTAGGATTCTCTGTTGAACTGTGGTGTCTGGTCGTTGATGTCTGTCAGTGCGATTTCTAACACAGTGGTCCCTGTGTTGTTGGCCTGGTCTCTTGCTTGCAGAGTTGGAGAATGCAGGGAGATCACCTCGCGGTCAATCAGTTTGCTGTTTGTCACAAAGATCCTCCCTGTCCTTGCATTCACATCGAAGTACTTTAGTCTGAAAAATCAGAAATCCCTTTCAGTTTATAGTTCTCATGCATTGGGTCTCGTTTCACTAACTTTGGCACCCCAACGTCAGACAACATCAAAAGTTATACATTGTATGAAAGCCTATTATAAAGGGAAGTAAATTAATACAGAATCATAAAGACATAAGAAAGCATACAGTATAATGGCTTGCAGTGTACGTACACGCTGTCTGGAAGAAGTCTGTATCTGATGTTGCCAACATCCATAGTGTCGGGATCGGTTGCCTGGGGGGGGAGTAGAGTTTTGTGTTTGTATTTCCAATGCATTTAGCAGCAACAACCCGAAACAGAGGCTATAATTTAAACAAAGGCCAATTCACATTTTATTGCAAGTGTTTTTTGAATTACATAGCGGTGTCTCCTGGGTTGAGTGAGTTAACACCGGATACTTTAAGACACTGTTCAAATCAAATACACAGTGCGCATTTGCACATAGGTTGTATTCCAGCTAGACTGGTACCAATAACATGGACCTACTGTTAGACTGGTACCAATAACATGGACCTACTGTTAGACTGGTACCAATAACATGGACCTACTGTTAGACTGGTACCAATAACATGGACCTACTGTTAGACTGGTACCAATAACATGGACCTACTGTTAGACTGGTACCAATAACATGGACCTACTGTTATCGTGCCCACAGTGGTTCCATTAGCACTGTGCTCATCAACCTTGATGTTGTAGGTTTCGTGGGGGAACGTGGGGCTGTTGTCATTAACGTCTGTGATCTGAATGGTGACTATAGCCATGGAACAGCAGTCGACCGTATTGGAGGGATCCTTGGCGATAATCTGCACAGGAAAAACAACCACGACTTACCTCACTTTTAAACACACGCTTTCAGACAGAGTAAGAATGTTGTTCTTTGTGGTGAATATCAATAAGTAAACCTCATGTTAAAAAGCTGTGCACTATTTGGTGAAGAGGGTGCCATTTGAAACAGAGTGTTGGTTTTTGAAAATGGTGATATGATCGTCCCAAAATAATTCTGTGTACAATGTATTGCTGATCATGCGGTGTCATTATACCATGGTCTGCAGCTTGGCAACCGGACTGGTAGAGACCATTACATGTCTCTCGCGTGTTCGAAGTTCACCTGGCTATACCGTGTGAAGGGTGCAATGCTACCTCCTTTAACAGCAGTAATCACCCTGTGTGCAATGGATCCTATGGATGTTTGCCCGTCTTAACTACACAAACCCTGTTTCAGCTACGCTGGGTTTAATTCTGGCATTGGTCACATTCCAAACCACTTAGTTTATCTGGTTGAATTCTTCAAATCAACTTGTCACACATCTTCTTTTGAAAATGTTGTCAAATGTATTTGAATGATTATGATGACAAAAGGTGGTTCTTGAGGATTTGACAATGGCGTTAGTCTTTGGTGTTAGTCAATCAAATTACAGTAAAGACATTTCCCACATTACCTGGACGATAAAGACTTTGTTCCAAATGGCACTCTGTTCCCTTCATACTGTAGTACCCTTCTTTTGGTGAAAAGTAGTGCACTAAATAGGGAATAGGGTGTCATCTGGGACGCTTTTTTTTTTTTTTTGGAAGTTGTACTTTTTACCTGGACAACCATTGATGTCTTCGTCTCGTAGTCCACATCCTGGGAGTTCTTGACCATGATCTGAACTAGGCTTTCTGAGTCGGCAATCTGTGGCGACACACTGAACGCATCCTTGTCTAGTCCAGCAAGGCTTAGTTCGAATGTTCCATTTTCTCCCTACATCAGAATACAGATGATCGATTTTCTGGTCTGAGTAAACACTGGTCCCACATGAATTTCACAGTTATTTATAAAAAAAAATACATTTTGTGATTAGGGTTGCAAATTTAAGGTAACATTCCAACAATGCCCAGGTTTTCCAGGTTTTCCAGTAATCCAGAGTATTCTAGATTTCATTATTCATTATTCCTTTTTCCCTCCTAATTCCGGGAATCTTCCAACCAGGATTTATAGAAATCCGAAAATGTTGCAACCCTATTTATTATAAAGGGCTCTGACCTGATCCAGATCTTTGGCTTTGATGTTGAGGCCGTTGACTGGAACACCCATGGATGAGTGCTCAAAGATGTTGGCCGTGAAGCTGCTGGCCTCCACGCAGGGATCGGAGGGATTCACTCCGCAGCTATAAAATTTAGGCTTGTTGTCATTGATATCACCGATGGTAATCCGCACCTCAGTAGCGGTGTGGGCTTGGGTCCCCAGGACATTTGGATTCACCTCCGTTGCCTGGAATTATAGTTTTAATTAACAGTAGGTCAGCTCGAAATTAAATATTGTCTTTTGGATAACGACTGTTGGAAATGATGTGAAGGATTAACCAATAAGAGCAACGTCACTTCAAGGACAACGCCAAAATTGATGTCCAACAAAGCCTCTCTGTCAATATCACTTTTGACAGATATGATTCCATCACTGGCTGCGATCTCAAACAGGTCATTGGTACCTGCAA